GCCAATATCATAAAACACCAAATTTAATACAAATTCTACTGTTGTACTGCAACTTCTTTAAAACACTTATTTTTGATATTAATTAGTCAACAACTTGTCCGCTTATATTTAACGGCCACTTTCAGGCAACCCTTTAAAATAAGCGGCTGACCGATATTTATAACGGAATTAGGTTATGTATTTAACGGACAATCGAGTTACCAAATACCAATCGAAAATTAAGCGGCCGTAAACTGTATAACGTCCGTTAACTTTTAACGGAATGGTTACAGAATAGGGTCTTTAGGCTGTTGTAAAAAAATAATGTCTTTCTGACGTCTTAAAATCCCCAAAGAATCGCCAGTGTTTAATAAATTTGTTGTACCGAGCCCTTCGGGCTTTGTTTTGTCCCTCAATCAGTGTCGTGCTCGAAGGGCTCGGCACAAAAAACTCATTAAAAGCTGAGGAGTTTTTCAGGCTTTTAATAAAAAGTTTAGCACTATCCGATTCCATCCAACCCCAAAGTGTTAAATATAGGGACATTATCGAAATGGTCAGACACTCGCAGTCGCAGTTTACAATCTGCTCTTGTATCCCTGTACCAATAACTTGTTTTAGAGGACTTTTTTTGCGGAAATGCGGTTTTCGATCTCTTCTCTCTCATTGAAGGCAGTATTTTTCCATAAAACGTTCACGTTGTCTGTTGCAGTAAGGAAAATTTCACGCGTGTGCCAAATCTACATAGCGTTTTTTCAGTGTTTCCAAACGTTGGGCAAAATATGAATTCGTGTTTAAAATAGTAGTTACAGTCATCAAGTCCGGTATTTGCGTTGTAGTAATTCGCGTTTTAGTAATTCGCGTTTTGTCATGCAATTAGTAACGTCACCACACAGGTGTGAAACATCGAAAATAGGCATTTCGAAAATAGTTTTTTTGGCAAATGTAATTGACAACACTTTTGGCCGCATAATGCCAAACAGCAATTAATTAGATCAAAGTGGAGCACATTGTTTCAGCGGGTTAATGAACCGGCGTTGAACGATTCTCTTGCTCGTTCCAAAAATGTGCTTTCATGCCAAAATCGAAAACAAATAACGAAACGTGCGTGTTGTGTGTGTCTGTGGATGCTGTACGAACATTCGAAATTAGAGTTCGAACCGGGCACGGATTGCAAACTGATTCCGGGCATTATTCTATTAGAAAGTTCCGTTTGGAAAAAATCGTTTCATTAGTGACAAAACACGATTATGTCCAACATTAATTAATCCAGCGTCGCTTCCAACCAATCTCCACATTAAAATCAGCGCTGGCTCTCGCTCTCCACTTCGTTTCCATTAAATGATAAAATTAACGGGAAACGAAATATCTTGGCAGTAAAATTCTGTTTATTAAATGCGCCCCTATCGCTCGAAATAAAACCCAGTGTCAATATTCAGCAAAACTGTTCAGAACGAGCGCAAATACTGATTAGAAAATCATTTTCTCCGCGTGTTACAAAACACGATTTAAAAGGTTTCTCATTTCCGTAAAGCCTATTAGAAAACCGCGGTTGGAGACTCCAAGGATTTCCATCAGCGATAATTTCAATGTAATCGTATTCCATCTGATGGACAGAAAGGCAAGGGGTAAAGTCGCCAAAAATAGGGGTGTGTCGAGTTGGTAACTTGAAATACGACACAAAAACATCGGCTTTATACAGGGCGCATTTACATTAAGAGACAGTCGGTTAAAGGGGGCAGGTTTTGCTCCAAACGGCTGAACACTCGGAATCTTACAAACGAAAACTAGGGTTGGCTATTTTTAATCGCCAAGTGTTCTTGAGTCCCAAAATAAGAGCACAATAAAATCTGGGGCACGAAAGAGCCCAATAAGAATGACCGTTTTAATAGTTTAAAAAGATTCGGTTTTTACGATATTTCTAGATGTTGATACGAAATACGCAAGTTCTATGCACCAAAAAACACTTTCTGAAGGACAATAAATTTGGGTTTCTAGCCAAAGGCGTTCGTGCAGAATTTGCAGTGAGCCAATTTAAAGTGAAGAGCGATACGCCACGGTTTTTCTTCAATTAAAGACAATTTTTGCAGCCGTTATTCATTTTCGAGCAAATTTGGTTTTTTGATCAGTTCAGTCGCTGGGCATCTGGCAAGACCATTTACTATGAACATCACTACGTAAATAATTTTTAGTGTATAGATTTTATTTGCATCAGAAAGTGTTTAGATTACTTTAATTCTTTTACTTTTATCGTTTAAATACTACCTATTATCTTCAATACATTTAAATTTTTCCAGTGGCGTTCCTTAAGGATTTCTGACCGAATCAATTCTAAGGGTAAAGTGAAACGCCACTGCTTTTCTTCAATTCAAAACGAGTTCTAAAACGGTCATTCATTTTCCAGAAAAAAAGATATTAACAATAATTTAACAATAAAATTCACTCACTTGCATCTTGCTAGATAATTTATTGTAAAAACCATTGTATGTAAAATGTTGTATAAAAAATTGTCTAGACTACATTTATTTTGTATTTTTATTGTTTAAAAACTGTTTCCTTCGAAAAAAATTAATTTTTGCTAGTGACGTTTGTTCGGGTTTTCTGGCTGAATCATTTTAAAGAAAAAATCAGTTTTGAAATCCCCATTTAGTTCTGAACAAATTTAGTTTCCTGTTTTTTTTCTTCGTTTGATGTAGGGTTTCTACACAAAAAAAATTAAATTCATTCGTGCGCGTATCGCCAGATCATTTACGATAAGAATTAATCCAACTTTAAACGAAAATATATTCCTTTAATTTTCCAATTGTATCAATTAGAAATTATTCGCCTAAATAAGTTTTGATTCTTGCCAGTGGCGTTCGGGTTCCATTTTAGCGAGAATAGCGTTACGTCATTCTTTTTCTTAAACTTAAAATCCTTTTTGAATTCCCCATTCCCGTCTGAACAAATTTCGTGTCTTGAATTTCTTTCATTTGATGTACGGTTTTTGCATAAAAAAATCATTAGCTTGCGATAAACAAGCTCGATGCAACCGAATACATTTAATTTTTTTTATGTAAAAACTGCAAATCCGACGAAAAAAAACACGGGATCAAATTCGCCCAGAAAAAATGTTGAAAAATTATTTGCTGTATGGAAAAAATTTGAAAAATAATTTTTTGCATACAAGAAATAGTATTTTGTTGCTTCTTGCTTGTTTATCGTAAGCGAATTAGTGCAAATGCAAAGCAAATGCTTTTTATTTTTTGATGCAAAAACTGTTGGTACGTCAAATGGAAAAAATCTAGGAGACACTGTGGAATATCAAAAAATATTTTTAATTGAAAAAAAAGCAGCAGTCTCTATTTAAAACTATTTAGAGGAGATCCTGCATGAACGCCACTGGAAACAATAAAAATTGATTTAAACGGATAATTGCAAAACAATAAAATTAGAAAAGCGACGTAGATTACTAATGATAAATATATTTTTGTTTAAATTTATCTATTGCACAGATTAAGTTTTATCGTAAATGATTTGGCGATATTCGCACGAATACATTTTATTTTTTTTGTGCGGAAACTGTACGTCAAATCCAAAAATCTAAGAGACCGAATTTGATCTTAAATTATATTTTTTCTTTCTTGGGTTTCAGTCAAAATGTGAAATAAAAATGTTTAAATCGTTTATTTCATATTTTTACGTTTCGGCGAGACAACAGCGCCATCATCAGATTTAAAATTCAAAATAAACTACAAACAACAATTTACAATTAAAATATGTTGTACAAAAACTATAATTTACAAAGCGTTAAAACATCCATTAGTTCTTAAGGAAAAAAAATCTTTGGGAGAGCAAAATATTTGAAACATTTTTTTTCTCCCAATTTCTTCCAAAGAAAAAATAATCCTTAAGAACTAATGGATGGAGTTTTTGTACATTACATTTTGACTGAAACCCAGGAAAGAAAAATATAAACACAATTACACGCAGTCAGGAAACTAAATCAAAAAATTTGATCTTAAAGCAATAAAGATATAAAAAAAATCAGTTTTAATTAAAAAAAGAAAACAGGCGTTCTGCTTTTTGCTTTAAAATAACCCAGGCGGCAGGATTTACCCTGCACTAACGTCACTGGCGAAGATAAAAAAAATATGTTGGACTTCAGAACATGTTTTTGATGTATGGAAAAGGCGTTCTGAAATTCACTAAAATATGTAAAAAAAGATTTTATAAACCTTTTCCTTCAAAAGTTTAGGACATTATCAAGAAACACCCTGTATAATAATGACCGTTGTCCATTAAAAGGTGAACTTGAAACAGCGAATGATCGATTTGAAGTGTCCGTGAACTCAAAACGGGCCTGCAAAATGGCAAACTAATCAAAACGTGGGCACAAACGACAAAAAACAATAAAATTTGATTTACGTGCTACACTTGTGGCACCGCCTACGCAAAACTACCTTGTTCTTCTAGACAGAGTCACATTTTCTGATAGAAGCTACGGAAAAACTTACCACTTATCCTAGAAAACCGCATATTTGGTGCGGGTGAGCGACGCTTACCTGAAACAAAGACAAATGTTGGAAGTTGTTAAAAAACCAAGCAGGCTTTTTTGCGATTAATCATTCCAATATAGTTTGTTTATTATTACTTTCGTTCACGTAGAACCGACACACCTTAGTATTGTTAAGAGAGGATTCGATGACTTTTAAATCGCTTGCGAATTCCTTTCATGGCATAATGGATCTTTAACGCATTCAATTGTTCTCTACAGTGCGAATGAAAAATTGGCGTTAATTCTCTTGCAGGTTTGGTTTGTCGAGAAGAGGATTTTCCTAAAGACACAGCAGCTTCAATTTATAAACTCATTTGACAACATCAGGTTTCATTCAAAAATCAATCGCTAATTTGTATAAATACATTTGCTGTAATTCAAAAATTCGCATTTATAAATAAAAATCGACGTGTCCGAGCGTTTTTTCCTCCAAAAAAACACAGCGCAAAATTTTAAACGAATTTACTTAACGAGTGTTTTGTTCCAGTCGTTTCGGACAGGATGTGCAGCGTATCCCCAGCGGACACCGGATGCTCAATGGAGAGTCCAGCGCCCGATCCCCACGATCCCCATTCTTCCGAAGAAGAGCTCGAGGTCATAAACAGCAACCCCCAATGTGAAAGGGTGGCACCGCGACCTCTAAGGGCCGCTTCCGTGTGTTTGCCCGAAAAACGCAAGTGGTCTCAAATTGGTGATAGTCACAGGTGAGACTACACTCTTCTGCTGAGTTTTGCGGGTTTTTAGCCTTTGTTCCTGTTGTATAACCGGTGATTTAGCGCTTGTAGGCCTGCCAGTTTCACGGCAGTTACATTGGCCTGTCAAAAAACGGGCCTACTATGCAAGCAATCGGGGCCGAGAAACCCGAAAAACTCCACCCCGGGCCAACTTTTTTGATAAACTCCAATGTTCTTTATCTGTATAGGTACCGGCCAGAAAACGAAGAAAACATGTCTCAGTTCAGCAACCTGAGCCCACCGTCTTCCTGTTCGCCTTACTTGAAGAGTTATGGAGAAGACGGTCATGTGATAGAACATTCCGGATCGTCTGATGATGAGGTAAACGATCCCTGGTCTGGGCCCAATCAGCAGCCCAGTTTAATGGTGATTATTTTTTTGGTTTCAGGTCCACCACCTTTTAGCAAGTAGGGCAACGCCAGTGAGATTCCGAACCTCCCCACCTCTTGAGGCTGTGAAACCAGGCAGGAGGACTTTAGTGAAGAAAGAGAGTCCGCCTCCCAAATTAGTACATTATGAAGTATCGCCGAGGAAACGATCCCGACATGTGCGACACTCGCATCTTCAAAGGCCCTACTTGGACTTTGAGAAAATGCAGCAGGTAATCGATGCGAGATGGTTTTTCCCTCAAAAAGTTCAAAGCCTCAAGTCGGGGTAAACAATGCGGGCAAAAGGAATAAAAAAGCGGAACGTTCCCGGGTCATTTCAGCAACGCGAAGTCATATTGCGATTTCGAGTGCTCGAAAAATATTTGAAGTAGGCAGAACGCGTTTTTCAGCACTTTTCACCGGATAATGACAAAAAAGATACAAAACAACCGCGCATGGATTAAAACTGCGCCGTGCCATTTTCTTCGTGGTTTTATTTTTTTCCGAAATATGGACCGTACTTAGGTGTTCTGGTGGGGATCGCCCACCAGAACACACTCAACTTAACAAAACGTCCATTTTATTAGAACGACTATCCAGATTCAATTTGCCAACAATTTGCAACATTTCCTCCTCAAAACTGCAGAGTTTCAGCCTCGAGCGTGTACAGAGACAAACCCGAAACGCTCAAGACTGCTCCGGCTCTGTACAGTTCGTTACTCCAAAACCTCGTTCTTTCATCTTTCCTCCTCAATACGCCCGAACTTCGCTTAAAATATTAAAAACAATAAGAGCGGATTTTTCAAGTGGAGACTTGGACGAAAAATCCTTATAATTCCTTTCACGTTTCGGCGCGTCACCCCTTCAATACTACACATGCTCTATGCAATTATGTAATGCGCTAAAAACAGAACGCGCTCTAACCTAATTAATTGAGGCTCAAACAATGCTCACTGGTGGCCTCGTAACTCAATTTGCGTTCGAGGTTTTTTCACATTTCTTCCATGTTTTCCACTGCATTTGTTCGGGTACACAATTAAATTGAAATTAAAATTCAATTAAAAAAAACTCACGTGTTTTCATTAAATTTCGTCTGGAATTAATCAAAGTATTTTCGAGTAACGTGCCAACAGCCAACTTTCAAATAACCCCATAAAGCGGTCTAAAATCCGCTGATATCTGGACCACCCTGTATATTCATCATGTCCAAATTCCATATAAATTTGTGCAAATTATTCGATAAATTATGCCAAATTCTAATGACATGTTTCAGTCAATTACGCCTTCTCATTAAAGAAATCATATTTTTCAAACTAAAACGAGCAAAGGGATTGGAAATTTTCAGCATTTATTGAAGACATTTGAGTCTAAACATGCCAAACATGCCGAGACGAGAAAAATTGGTCAAAATCCTTTTTCCGCAGCTTGATAAATGTGTCTCAAAGTTGATACGTTCAGTAAACAGCGTTCTTCTCTTTAAAAAATCGGGTCTTCCAAACAAAAGCAAGAAAGAAGTTTAAATTTTTACCATCTTTAACAGACATGCGATGCGGCTCTAAAGATGGTGAAAATTGCATTAAAATCGTCGAGAATATGGATTTTTGTCAGCTTGATAAACTTGACATTTTCATCGTCTTTAGAACACCTATTACCTCCATACACACTGTAGGTATCTTAATAAAAGCGCAAAATGACGATTTTTTCCAGTTCCGTAACAAAGACACTTGGCTCTCGATGTGCTGCAAGTTTCTTAAAAATTCCCCAAGATCCTGATTTTTGCTAGCTTGATACACGTGTGACTCTCAAAATTAAAAGTTTCAGTCAACTACGCTCGTTCTTTTAAAAAATCGTATCTCCCAATCCAGCGCACGTAAAAATTTGAACTTTTCATCAGCCTTAGAAAACATTTGCATGTCTAACCATGCTGAAACTTTGTCAAAAATCTCACAAAATTCTGCTTTTCACCAATTCGGACTAGTAAAAATTGTCTACTACTCAACCAGATTTCCCATCAATAACCAATTGATCACTGGTTATTTTTCTTGGTTTTTCAGTTAAAAGCACGATCAGTAACAGCCTGGCGCCCATCCGGCGAGCACACCGGCGAACTGTCGGTGTTCTGTTGGTGAAACGAGTTTACGGGGTTGGAGCCAGCCAAACCCCTCAATTTGAATCGACCGCTCAGCCTTCCATCTCAATGGCGCTCAAATCCACGGGAACCCGAACAGAGCGCACCCGAATTACACGCTTACAGCAGCAGAAGCTGTACCATCACATCGGCCGATCAGGCGGAACCCGACCACAGATGGCGCCTGATGCAACAGCACTTTGCTGCGCAGAACACTGCCAGTTACTCTACGTCAGCTCCACTGTCTGCGCAGCTCGACGCAACGGAAAACGTGCAAAAGAGTGAACACAATCCACTACTGTAAGCGTGACTGAAAACATTTTGTGTACTGGTGGCGGCAAAACCTGCCAGGGAGTGTTACAAGCGTTTGTTTTGTCGATCATCGGAGGGTTATTTTTGTTTTGTGATATAGATACTTCTAAACCTACAAAAATGGTGTGCGTAGTATTTTTCTAGATGCTTTTTTAATTAACCCTTGGATTTAACTTGCGGTGGCGTACACGATCAACAGGCACATTTTAATTCTTTTGCTGGCACTCAAAATGTGCCTTGTTCATGATGATGAATAACGCAAAAAGATGGAAGTTCGCGGTCTGATACCAGTCAATTAAATAGCTTTTTTTAAGTTCAAGCAGCTCATAAAACCAATTAAAACCGTGCGTCACCGTCCTGTATAGTAAAGTACAAAAACAATGCTAAAAATGAAAAAAATCTATAAGATCGCTCATTTGGCCGCTTATTTTGCGACTAACCCAAAATAAACTGCCACGTGAAACCGAAAAATGTCTAACACAGTTATGTGTTGTAGAACTGATACGTCTAGCTCGTAGAATATAAAAAAAACGACCAGGAATGTTTTACTATAACCGAAAACGATAAAATCAGGGCCAGGAGGTTTGGGAAGCCAATCAGGGGCAATTAGGGGTTGTCCGCATCTACAGCGTGAATCAAATTTCCAAATTCAAAATCACCTCTTGTTTGGACCAGCATCGTTTTACCCAGTAAGAGTAATTTTAGAGAAACCCCGCAGATTGTAAATAGTGAACATAATGGTAGAAGTCGTCAGAAAAAAACTTGTTTGTGATTGTTTAGTCTTTTTGATAAATACCCTACTTGTTAAGGACTCAAAGACTGGCGTTTTTTATCGGTTCAACCTCCCCGGCTATATTTTATCAAGGAGTTTTGTCATTTGTGTTAATTCTTCATGACTGGTTTTCTACTTACTCAACATTGAGGCTGCTTTTATAATTATTTTCAATGTGATCGTTTGTCTCTCAAAGAGCTAAGCTAATTTTTACTCATCAGTCATTTTAAACAGTGTAAAACAAAAACATGTTTGTTATTTTTAAATTGCCGACGTTTTGCCATTTATTTAGTCCTGAAAATTCATGCTTTCAGTCGACTGCGTTTTTGTTTTAAAACTTCACATTTCCTAAACTATAGCAAGGAGCAACTTCAAAGCCACTTGATTCTAAATATGCTGAAAATGTCAAAAACATTGACGAAAATCTGGATTTTTGCCAGCTTGATAGATTGTCAGTCATAAAATTAAAATTTTCAGTCAACTACATTTTCCAATTTAAAGCAAATAACCATTCGCCATCTGTAGAAAACATTTGAATCCAGATATGCTGAGACTCAGAAAAATTGAACAAAAAAATCCTGGTTTTTCTCAGCTCGAATGTGAGCCAAAAATTTGGTGATGTGAGTCAACTGTGTTCTTGTCTGAAAAAGATCGTATCTTCCAAACAAAAGCAAGGAGCAAGTTGACATTTACCATCTACAGAATACACTTGACTCTAAAAATGGACTTTTTACTCTCCTTAAAAATGCACGTGTAAGAAACTAAAGCAAATAGGAATTCCGAATTTTTATTATCTTGAGGAACGTTTAATTCTAAAGATGCTGAATGTTTTATGAAAAAATGTACAAAATTCTGCGCTCTTTAAGAATGGCATCATTTAAACAAAAGCAAGAAACAAGTTGCAATTTTCATCATTTCTAGCAGACATTTGGTTCTGAAGATGCTAAAAGTTTCATCAAAATCGACATGAATCATGATTTTTGCAGGCCTGGTAAAAATCCATCTCATAATGGATATTTTGCCCCAACTTTGCCCTCTTCTTTAAAAAATCGTATCTCCCAAATTAAGGGAAGGAGCTCCTTCAAATTTTCACCATCTTTACAAAGCACCTGACTCAAAACTTGCTGAAAGTGTCATAAGAATCGCCGAAAATTTTTATTTTTCCCAACTCGATAAAATTCTGTCAACTACTTTGTCTTTAAAAAATCAGATTTTCTCAATGAAAGCAAAAAGCAATGTGAAATTTTTACAATCTGTAGAATACATGTGGTTCTGTTTTTGTTCTCTCTGTTCTAGTTTTTGAGAAATTGCCCAAAATCTCGTTTTTTTTCAGAAAATTGATGTTTTTAGGCAACAGCGTTCGTGTTTTATCATTAAAAAATCGCATCTTCCAAACGAATCCAAGGAAGAAGTTGAAATTTTCGCCAGTAGAAATTTAACAGGCACGTGTCTAAAGATGGTGGACATTTCATCAACATCGCCGAGAATATGGATTTTTTGCAAATTAAAGCAAAAAGCAATTTTATTTTAGACTCGCAGTCCTAAATAAATAAGGCAAAACGTTGGCAATTAAAAAAAACTTCTGCTCTTACATAAAAACAAGCTTGCAGAGAGACACACAATGACTGGATTTGAAATAAATAAATGAAAAACTAATATCGATAGTTATGCGGACGATAACACCCTAATATTTGTTGTACGATTTTTTGTATAATCTGGTAGCGAGTTAGCTGTTACTGATGGGATGAAGTTGAAATGATCTCGATATCGAAGTAAAGTTTAATTTTAAGTTTGTTGACACGTCGAGCCTCTATTATGTATTTTCACATTTTGTTAGAGGCCAGTCGCTAATGTACAAAGTAATATAAAACCGATTTCGCATCAATTCGGCAAATTAATGGCGATTTTAACAGATACAAAGTGGCTGAAACAGACACATGTTGCGTCACGGTTACATCAATTGAAGAAATCGTGGAAAAAATGGGGTTTCAATGTGGAGTAGTGGATAGTATTTTTCTTTATCTTCAAAAATTGCAATATTTTCAAGCGCTAGCCACTACTCGATTGGTTGTTTTCATTTGGCCACCCTGTATAAGAAGAAAAGTGTCTAAAAGAACAGAAGAACGGTCTCTATAAATAGCGCTAATACATTTTTTTGTAAATAATAATATAAGGTACGTTTTCAGATTGTTAAGATCTTTATTACCTTAAGTTCAAAACGGTTTTTCCCATTGTCCAAATACCAGAAAATCAACCATTATCATTGAATCTATTAAACAATTCTATTATTCAATAGCCAGACACTGTGTGCAAATAAAAAATGGGAAAAACATCTTCTAGAAATAGGATTCAGTGATATATTCGTTAAGTATTTTTGGCACATATGGCGTGCGCTTTATAAATTTAATTTAACATTTGTGATATAAACAAGTAGTCATATAGAAATCGGTGATATGATCGCGATGGCCCATTGTTTTCTCTCATTGTGATAAATTTTACCTTCTACGTAATACCTAGGTCATACACTGCTGCTTAACTACTGATCAACTAACAAAATGAAACTGAATATCTTGTGGACTTACCCGCCCATCCATCGAGTGATTGTCGTTTTTTTTCTGTTTTGTTTTTCTCTGTATATATATTTACATATATATATAAATTTCTATATGCCTAAAGTTATCGCACACATATTACTATTAAGTTGCAAAAATATATTAATTTTAATAACTTTAGTTTTTACAATCACTATTTGACTCAATAAAAATATTTTATAATCTTTAGTGTTGCTTTTATTTTATCAATATTTCCCAAAATTTATATGGAATTTTGAAAGTTTTTTTAAGGACTTTTCATATGTTGATGTTTAGCAAAATGATGTGGGTAGATTTTGGTGTAAAAAATGCAAATATTTTCCAAGGTGTAATTCCCTTTAGAGAATCGTGCTGCATATTCATTTAGTGCTCTATTTAGTAGTGTAGAAATTAGCGCTTTAGCTGAGTGCGTTTCTGAGAAATGAACAAAAAGGTGACCAAAAACATGAAATCTTAGACTAATCTTGCATCTAAATGCCTAATTTTCAGATTTGATTTTTGTGTAAAAACTCATTGTTTCGAAAATCACCGTACCCACTTTGTAGCTCAAACGATTCATGAGAAACGCGCAAAGCTGAGAGGTTTTGTGAAACTTTGGCTTTTTCTGGGAGAATTGCCAACCTTTCCCAAGGGATGCCTTAATGCCTAAATTCGGCATTTAGTTTTCTCTCTAGAGATGTAAAAATGATCGCTCTAGCTGAATTTGTTCCCGAGAAATGAGCCCAAACGGGACGAAAGACATGAAATTTTGACCGAATGTTGCACCAAAATGTGTTATTCGAATTTCGCCTTTTGTGTGAAAACTTCCAGCATTTCTTCACTCACATTCGTCCCACCGAATCGGCCTTCTATTTCTTTCTCAGGCGATAGGAAAACGGACTCTTTGCCGTATTTGATATCGCAAACCTGCACTACTCAATTTGTGTCTTATTTGCAAAACAAAAAACACAGTTTTGCCCTTTTAGTGGCTGAAACTGCAATAAATAGCGATAGCGAAAATTCAAATACTTCGCCCTGTAGAAACATAACTGTGACAACTCATCAATCAAATTTTAGCAACTTTTCCAAATTCCCAGTAAAATGTTTGCCAAATTCCCAGTGAAAGCGTTAGCAAGCCGATCCAGACAGTTCAATTCAACCGGCCCAAACCTCAACTCTATCAAGCAAAACTTCGTGGTAACCATTCTGGGTATGGGCTTCGTTTGCCCACTACCTGCAAATGACCATTTGGTGAAATTGCAGATGGAGCCGACAAAATGGGGCGAAACGTCGCCCTGCTGCTCAAACAATGCCCTTTGATATCCGAACTGAGACTTTACGATCGGGATAAGTCGATTTGCGTGATCGCTGAAGACTTGAGCCACATCGATACCAACACGAAAGTGACGTCTTATTGTGGCTTTGGCGTGCTAAAGCACGCCGTGCTGGTAAAACGGTGAAGTTTTACGCAATAAAAACTACACTAGAATATTTTAGGACGCAGACTTGATCCTATCAGTGGGAGGCTGCAGGCAAAAGGCGCACGAATGTGCCAGGCACCTTTTTGAGAAAAACGTGGACAATGTGCGGAGCGCAGCCTTGCACTGCATCGCGTTCAATCCGAGGGCGATTTTCTGCGTTTCCAACCCCCCAATTGAGGCCTTTGTGCCTCTGGTTTCAGAGGCAACTATTCGTGAAAAATCCCCTAATTTCCCTGCTGAATTTCATCAATTCCAGGAGTATAAAAAAGCTGGAGTGTACGACGCGAGAAAAATAATCGGAATCTCCTCAATCGGTTGCATGAGGGCAAAGTACTACGTCAGCCTGATAAGCGGACGAGACCCTTCGAACGTTCGATGCGCCATAGTAGGCGGAATATCCAAGAACTGCCTGGTGGCCTGTGTTTCTCAAAGCCGACCAGATAAAATCCATCCGGTAGATTTTCGCTTAATCACACAAAACGCTGTGCTTTCAACCACTAAATGTTAGCACTACCACAAGATTATTCAAGGCGCAATCCACTTCGCAGAGGATGAGGCGCTTAAAATGCACGGCGAACATGGAAGCGAGTGCTTGTCTTCTGCGCTAGCAGTTTCCCGGTTTGTTAACACGCAACTGAAGGCGCTGCGCGGCGAAACCAACTGCGTGGACTACGCTTTTGTCAAGCAACCTGCGCATATTGGCCTTGGCCACATTTTACCGTACATGACCACCATAGTGCGATTAGGTTTGTTTGACCTGCGTAAATTTTTGTTAAATGTTTATTGAGGTTCCTCCCTAGGGCGACACGGGGTGTTGTCTGCGCACATGCCCAAAATCAACGGGTTTGAAGCCCACTGCTTGAAAAGAGCCAGCATGTTTATCAGAGAAAACATCCGTCTGGGAGAATCATTTGTTACTGGCGAGCAAAAGAAGGGCAAAAGCGCCGTCAAGAAAAACTAATTTTTGCTCAACAAATACCTTCAAAAAATAAGGTAAATTTTTCTCGAATGACAAATGTCAATAAAATGTGAAACATTCCTTAATTTTTTTGTGCGAATTATCAGTGAAAGTGAAAACTCCCAAACCCGTCGATGTCTTATCCAGATCCTGACGTTCCTTTGTACTACCCGGAGGAATACGTATGGAAAAGCTGTACTTCAATGTCCCGGTTTGATTTAATCGGGTATTTTTTCAGGAGTATGAGGGGTACTTTGAAAACGAGCTGAAAAACCTCCAGAGCCCCGTCTACAAGACAAAATCGTTGGATTGCAAGCGCCACAAACCCACCATGCTGCCCACTATCAACTACATTAATGAGCGAAAATGCCCGATTTACGTGCACAACATCCGTAAGGATTCAAGCATTTACAACCACTACAATCAGAAGTTGACCACCGCCAGAAAACCGAGTGAAACTGAAAAACCCACAGCCAATAAACTGGTGCTGGATAAGCTGGAGGAAACCTACTGGTCCACCTGGCGGCCCAAGAAAGAGAACCGACCGGTTGGGCGAAAAGGGTTTATAGGACTGAGCGACTCAAAACCCCCGTTTCTTGAACACAAAGGTGCATAACTCCCAATAGATGATTCAGGAAAGTAGTCGATTTTTTGTTTAGCTGTTTTAGTTGGCCCCAGAGCCCCCAACAAAGCCCATGGGGACATTAACGACAACATAATCAAGTATTTCAAAGCCAAACGGTTTGAATCGGGCAGCACGACGGATTCGGTTAATCAAGCAAAAGAGCCAGTTCTTCAACCTCCGATTTCTAACTCAATGTCGCAAGAAATCCAAACCGAAGTCCACTGCGCGGTTATTTTAGAAGACTGCCCTAAGAATGTGGAGGAAGTACCAAGCTCCGAGCTTCCGGCTGAAGAAGCAAAACTTTCTAAGCCTCCGAAAGGGAAGAACCAAAAGAAACTCCTTAAACCCAAACCGGAAAAATCGAGCAAGAATCCAAAAGCATTGGCAGATCCAGACCATTCCACTAGTTTCATCGCGCACAAAGACTCCATGGAAATCATCAAGACAAAACAGGAAAAAGCCGACTGTAAAGAGCGGGTTCAGCAGCCCAAGTCCATCAGATTATTCAGGAAATCTAGAGTTTCAGCAGGTTACATCAAAGGAGGGACATACCCATTGAAGTCCTGCTTAAAAAAGGCGGACTCTCCCTTAGGCAACTTCAAGTTGGGGCCGCCAGGCAGCCCACTCTTTGTTACAACCGGCTCGTTTTCCAATAGGAAGAAAAAATAAAGGCCTTTGAAAAATCCTAATTCATAATTTTACAAAAGTGTATCGATGAAGAAACTGCAGTAGAAAGTTTGTATAAAATCCAACAACTTCGACGAAGAATTCGCAAATAATAATTGAATATTGCATAACAATGAATGGATATGACAAGAATGTAGTTCTAATAGTGTTTAACTGCGTGCAAATTTAGTGGTTAAATCTCGTTAACCGGCGATAGATTCAAACTTTGGCTCAACTAAAAGACTCGCATTTTTCAATCACCCTGTAGGTTCAACTGGACATTTGCCCTCATTCTAAGGTGAACTCGCTTTAAGACGTCTGTTGCCTACCTTTTGGTTAATTCGTTATCCTTGATGGCTTCAAAGCGACGATGTTCTTAGCAAAAAATAAACCATTGCACAATATAACTGTCACCGTAAAAAACTAGCCCTGAGCTCCAGTTTTCTTTAACAAAACCCTACTAACTTTGGAAAGAACACCGGCACTGATTTCAGTGAGAAAATTGAAAATATTCACAACAAAACACGCGTTTTGCCCGTTTTCATACTCGATTAACACTGCAAAAAAATCGCTGCTAAAGTCTGTGTCTCATGCATCCGTTGATACGAAAGTGTTTCTATTGGTTGGAGATCTCCAGATGACAGATCTCCAACCAATAGAAACGCTTTCGTATCATCGTACCATCGTATAAACGGATGCATGGGACACGGGCTTTAGCGGACTTCAAACAGGGAATAATACGTAACGGAATAAGGATAAATTGACAGATAGGAACGAAAATAATCGGCGGAAAAATAAACAAAAACAAAAAAATTGTGGAAAAATAAATTGTTGATACAAATTCACCTTAACACACTAAGCCGAATATAAAATAGCATATTCTAAGGATTATTGATACAATAAACACGCAGAACACCAACTTCGCTTTGCCACTTAAAACCTAACCTTTCTAAATCAGACGTTTCGAATATAAAAACGCAACATCTTCTTAAACTATTTAAATGTGAGTACACGTACCTTCAGGTCCTCTGGCCGCTGTTACGCGCTGCACATCTCGCAGCCCTCGGGATTATTCAAGGAACAAACCAGCGAAGCCTCGTTTTTCTCGTCTTCCTCATTTAGGTCTGCTCCATTTTTTTCCAGAGCGCCCACTCTGTTCTTCACTGGACTGGACTTCACACCGTTTTTCACTAGCAACTTTGACTTATCGACGGTGAACTGGATGGGATTGGCCGCCGGCTTGGTTCTCAAATAATACATTCCGGTTTTCAGGCCCTTCTTCCAGCCGTAAAAGTGCATCGAGGACAGAACGCCGTAGCTGGCTTTTTCAATGTGAATGTTCAAACTTTGGCTTTGGTCGATAAATGCGCCGCGATCCGCGGCCATATCCAGGATGACTTTTTGCGAAATTTCCCACACCGTCTTGTAGATTGCCTTCAAGTCATCAGGGATGTCGGGGATGTTTTGTATCGAGCCGTGATTGGCTATGACTTGGTTCTTCATCGTGTCGTCCCACAGTCCTCTTTCGGTCAAGTCCTTGAGAAGATGCTGATTGACCACTTGAAACTCCCCGGACAGGACTCTCCGAGTGTAAATGTTACTAGTGTACGGCTCGACGCTTTCGTTATTTCCCAGGATTTGGGCGGTTGAAGCCGTGGGCATTGGGGCCAGAAGCAACGAGTTTCTTACGCCATGTTTGGCGATTTTCGCCTTTAACGCCGCCCAATCCCACAGATCTGTGGGCATGACATCCCACATGTCGTACTGGAGGATTCCTTGACTCACTGGCGAACCTGCAAATAAGTTTTTTTTAGTTTGAGTTGATCGGGGACAATGAAGTCTTCACCTTGATAAGTAGAGTAGGTCCCCAGCTCCTCAGCCAGTTCGCAGCTGGCCTCCAGCGCCCCATAGTACAACGTTTCGAATATCCGCTTGTTCAAAAGGGCCGCATCAGGGCTATCGAAGGGCATTCGCATCAAAATGAAGGCGTCGGCCAGGCCTTGGATTCCAATCCCTATAGGCCTGTGCCGCATGTTCGAGTTCTTTGCCTCGATTACCGGGTAAAAGTTCACGTCAATAATCTTGTCCAAATTCCGCGTGACCACTTTCGTGATGGCCTTTAACTTCTCGAAGTCAAAACTCTTCCGATCAGCGGATACAAACATGTTAACCGCCACTGAGGCCAGATTGCAAACGGCGATTTCATCGGCTGAAGTGTATTCAACGATTTCCGTGCAAAGATTGCTGCTCTTTATCGTGCCCAGGTTCTTCTGGTTGGATTTGCGGTTGCAGGCGTCTTTGTACAGCATGTAGGGCGTCCCGGTTTCTACTTGCGAGGCGATAACAGCGCGCCAAAGCTCCTGAGCTGGCACTTGCCTGAAAGTGACCGTAATTTTTTCAGGGCTGAAGATAATTTAACTGACCAAACTTACCGAACAAAGCGCTGCTCTTCTTCATACTTCTCATAGAGCTTTTCGAATTCGTCCCCGTAGCATTCGGACAGTCCGGGCGATTGATGGGGGCACATCAGCGACCAAACCCCATTGGACTGCACTCGCTTCATGAATAAATCGGGCACCCACAAGGCGTAGAACAAATCCCTGGCGCGCATTTCCTCTTTGCCTGCAAAGGACGCAAAAATACAAATCCCGTTGAGTTAATTTCGTTGAAAACCCACCAGTATTTTTTCGGAGATTCAAAAAATCGAACACATCAGCATGCCAGGGTTCCAAGTAAATGGCAAAAGCCCCAGGCCGCTTATTTCCGCCTTGGTCCACATATTTGGCTGTACTGTTGAACACCTTCAGCATCGGCACCAAGCCGTTGGACACTCCATTGGTACCAGCAATGTACGATCCTGAATCGAGCATAATCAAGTAAATCCCCCTATAGAGTTAATGATTGTAGGCAAATGTTTACCTTTCGCTCTAATATTGTGTACATTTATGCCGATGCCTCCGGCGCTTTTGGAAATAAAGGCACATTGAGTAAGGCACGTGTAGATGCCCTCAATGCTGTCATCGGGCATCATCAGCAGGAAGCAGGAAGATAGTTGAGGTCTGGGCGTGGCGGCGTTGAACAGAGTGGGACTGGCGTGCGTGAAGAACTTCTCTGACATGAAGTTGTAGGTTTCGATTGCTGAATCAATATCTTCTCCATGGATGCCCACTGAGACCCTCATCAACATGTGCTGCGGCCTTTCAACAATCTTTCCGTTGATCTTCAGAAGATACGACCTCTCCAGGGTTTTGAATCCAAAGTAGTTGTACGAGAAATCTCGGTCGTAAATAATGCACGAGTTTAGACGATCGGCGTGCTTCATTATGATGTTGTAGTGTTTTTCCGAAATCATTGGGGTGGCCAGTTTGGTCTTGGCATTCACCATTTTGTACAGATCGGTGACTACATCTGAAATGAACATTTACGGGTGATGATCGGCATTGTCGCCCATAGAGACTAGTTACCGCTAAAGTGCTTCTTCGTCTCCTTGTGCAAATTGGACACGGCAATTCTGGCTGCGAGAATAGCATAATCAGGATGATCTATGGTCATAGTTGCCGCTGTTTCCGCAGCCAAGGTGTCGAGTTCTACTGTGGTTACGCCTGGGTATAGTCCATTGATTACTTTCAAGGTGATGGATATCTGGAATTCATATTAGGCCCTGATTAGTAATGACGTAGTGTTTAATTTTCCATTAAAAACACTGCAAAACCTACCGGATCTACGAAGTCTTTGTTCAATCCGTAGCACAGTTTCTGGATTCTGGACGTGATTTTATCGAGATGCACTTGCTCCTGTCGGCCTCCTGCAACAAACAATACCAAAAATCACGATGGTTTTAGCCTTGGGGGTGCCCCCAAAACAGCCTCACCTCTTTTGATCACGTACATCTTCTGCACGGGTTTGGGCACCATTTTGCCGGCCACAAAACACTTCAACACTGCCGGTTGCCGATGAACGCAAACCTAACACAAATTGCACAATATTTCAACGAAATTCTTCGGGAAAAACAGGAGAAATTACGTTCAATGTGTTTGACGCATAACCTTAAAAATGCGACACCAACGGGTTCCCGCCAATTTTAGCAACTGGCACAGAACAAGGGGGATGTTCTGTGGCAACTGGAAGGATCGAGGCGTGAAGTTGGGCCCGAGCTTTACCGAGTGGACCCGAAATTCATTTAAATTATATTTTAATTTGTTTCTAATTTATTTCAAAACTTTCGTCAAATTTAGAGGAATTACAATGCATGCGTTATTCAGTAGAATAACATTTTTCGTGTGAAAAATGCAATTTAATCTTTAATAGTGGAATGTTTAAGGTTTGAAAATAAATATTTGTTAACTTTTTGTTGGGGGAAGAAATAAAAAATAAAAATACCAATCTACTAGTAGTAGCACGTTCACAATCCGTGCATACCCATCATTTGTATGCACAGTTGCCTACACTCTGAGAGCAAATGTATGTTTATAATATGGAGTTTGCCACAGTATCCTGATGTGAAGTCTTAATGATTTAGTCAAATTTGTCTAATGCCCAAATTGGTGGTTTTTGAAACACGAGGCGTCGAAGTTGAGACAACAAAACCAAAAAATGTTGATTAAAATTTCATACTGTGGGGCTTTTTGGGGACGAGAAACTGAAATTTGAGAATATTTCCCACGTACTTTCAAAAAGGCACTGTCAGACTCGCAAATCAACTTTCGACAAGGATATTTTTTGATCACCCGGTGCTATGAATGTTTAATGACCAGATCTGAGTTTGTATATATTTGCTACAAAAACATGCTCTTTTGGTAGAAGACCGTACAGGCTTTCCATCTTGAGATGTTTAAGCTTAAAGTTCCGCATCAACAGATTATGCTAAATCCGCATATTTCCACAATACAAATCGGGTTAGTTTCATATACACTTTACCCAATTTTCGCATATTTTGGCTCGAAACTCTGACTGAATAATTGGGAGCATTCAAACAGCAAAATGCAGCAAAAACAAAAGTTTCCCCCCGTGTAGCCAAAGTAAATGATGGTGGCTAATTTCTCCCCCGCTTACGACTGTCTTTTATTTCATTATGCCGTTATTGATTGGCCAGGCCAGTCAGGGGGGATTAGCGGGCAAGCTGAAATTCTGGGGGCCAAAACACCGAAGCTGAAACCTTGAAGCTCGCTTGAAACTCTTACAAGCAAATTGCGAAAAAACCCCGGAGAAAAATCATAGGAAAAATGAAAATCCAGCGTGTTAGAATTAATAGCACAAAGAACGTTGCGAGCCCTTTATATTATCAAAGGCCTACGCTCGACTGCTTTTCTTTTGCTCTTGCATTCGGTAAATTGGCCAAATCTGCGAATTTTTGCGACTTGGAACGAAATGCACTGGTTTAGCCGGGGGTAATGTAGCATAAACCACCCCGCAGGGTGAGATTTCATTTTTAATTCGCGTCGTTGAGTCCGAATGTAATCGTATTTTGCCCTTGTTTCGCTATTTCGGGACGCACCCCCGCAGGGGTCACAAAAACGTATGCTGGAAAATCATATTCTATTCGATTCTGTTCTACTTTTTCCATGTAGTTAAAAGTTTCAATTCATCTAGTAATTCGGTTTCAGAATTAATCACGTATCGAAGAAAGCAACAGCAGCGGAAACTGGTCGAAGAGATAATAAATCTGGATAGGAATAAAGGGAGGCAGGCAGAAAGAAAACGTAATTACGACGAGATATAATTACAACGGAAAGTTGCACAAAGTTTTGCGCTTCTCTCATAATTGATTGTCTTATTAAAGATGAGTTAGCCTGAACTCGAGGGCCTTTTGTCTAATCCAGGCTTTCGACTATTCAAAGCGCTAGAGCGGTACAGCGCGCTCTTTCCAGGCGAACTAGATCAAGCGAAGAAAACTTCACCAACCACCCTATGGGAAATCAACCATCTTTTAATGCACTTCAGAACCTCAACCAGCCACCAAGAGCCAGAAGTTTGCCCCATCTGGAACAGCTCAAAGCTTTCTAAAGGTTTGAATGGTCTTTGGATCTGGATCTGGAGGTTGCCAGGGACGACACGCCCGAGCCTTAACTATTTAGTTATTGTAGAACTCATATCCTAATTGGGTTATCTTACATCTGCGCCATCCATGGCCAGCGATGGTCAGGTAATATTGAAAATTTATTATTTTTTTAATTACATTTCCGCTCTCATAGCGCTTTAAAGTAACCGGGCCATTTCTGGATAATGCCTGCTTTGGTATCTACGTATTTATCAGCCGAAAAAGGAGTTTATGGCTGATAAAAATTTGTCGATGAAGGCCAAAGGAAGAGGAAAATGAAGAATTGGTGAAAAAATATATCGGAAACGTTTTGCCAAAGAAGCCCCAAAGCCAATTTTGTTTCGTAATAGCAAAACTGGTTACAAATCTATTAAAGAAAAACGGAAATTTTATTTACACTTTGACACTGTAGCTCGGAAACGATTAACTTTCGCATAAGAAAAATTTGCCTGAAAGGCAATATTTTTGCTTAAACAATTTGTCAGCGACTTAGTTGAAGACCATCCTGTTCTCATTGCACACGAAGTGAAAGTTTCAATTGCGCATTTTGATGGATAACCGACGAAATGTGGCTTATAGGCCTGGCGGCCACCATGCAATTGGGCCATTTTGACCTACTATGAAGCTCCTGATGGAAACTTTTTCGCCCAAATCGCAAAAAAATCCTAATTTCTATCAGGAGCAGGTTTTCACTCGGCAAACTCATGATGATGAATAGAATCATAGTAAGATTGATGAGAAATCTTTGAAAAATTCGTAGAAGCAATTTTTAAAATTAACGTTGATGGGGCAAAATCCAAATAAAAAAAAACGGTTTGTTTTGGAACTTATGAGTCTGAGACAAACCACAATACAAGTTGCATTTCTGGGGTTTTTTCATGTAATCTAAGTCCACTTTCTCACTTACACTGGGTGTTGCATACATTCAGGTTAAAAGCCAAAAAATTGTAATTTTTCCAAACCATGCCCCATACCAACTTTACTAAGACTTTTATTGTTCGGTCGATACTACATCAAAAACTACTTATATTAGGTTTCTAAACAGCATCAGAATGGCTTAAGTCCATCAATCTGTTTAGAAGTTATGTCGAGTTAAATGATAAAACTTTAATTTTTGTGCATACTCTCACTCCTTAGGTCAATGAAAATGGGAGAAAAATTGCAAAAAATCATCGACTTGTGGAGCAGCTTTTTCTCAGCTTTTCGTTAAGGTTTATCAGTACATTGTTCCTTAGAGAAAAGGGTGCTGGATAAAGTAATGACATTTTTTCAGCCCAAATTACCATTATTGCGCTTTAAATGCATCGGTTTAGCTGATATAAACACACTTTTTTATCCTTGCATGCAATATAGACAAAGTCTTATATTGGATGCGGAATATTTACCCAACATTAAAGTGTGGAAATGGGGCTGCGCAACCTCCTCAAATACCCCAGGGCTGGCTTCTAAAATTTCATCAAGCTCAAACTCTGTTTCACAAAAACTGATCAATTTTCCTTAATTAAGCCTCAGACATTTAACTGAACCAAACTCTTCGAGTTACCCAAAGTTAAGAAAAAACACCCCCTTAAAACTCCCCAGTTTGTTGCAATTTTTCTTTAACTGTCTCCCCCTCCCAGGTTGAAATAAAGCATAAAAATCCAGCCCTGATTCAAAAAGGGTTGTCACCCCCTTGATTCAAAACCCCTTCCCTGTGGCACATGCTAAAAAAGTAAGGGTTAACTCGCCCCTCCAAATGGTGTATTTTAATGTAAAAAAATCTATGCAGACCCCGATCCCCACTCCTCAGCCTTTTCTACCTTTCAACTTTATATTCAAACTCTTTCCAAGCAGTCCAATGGGGATTTTGGAGTATGGCGCTTTCTAAATCCTACCCCCACCCTTTAAAAAACAGCTTGAGACGATGCCAAATTTAAATTTCTATGTAGTGAAAGGGTGCACTTTGAAAGGGTGACATCAGTATGCAAATAAGTCGAAGGAAAGGGGAAACTGTGACGTTGTTTGTGGCTTTTTTTCGGATTGTTTTTTGCTGTTATGGTAAGCGTTTTTTGCACGTTTTTTCCTTCATTTTTTAATCAGTTCAGTGTGATTTTATAGGGCTTTATATGCTGAATTGTAAACTTAAATAAAACATTAAATTTCTTCTCTCGCGTTCCCATTGAATAAAAATAAAACGGAAATAAATCAGAAATCAAAGTGCCTAAATAAGGTAATAAATAATTTAAGTGTCTTTAAATGTTCACAGTTTAAAAAATATGCAAATAGGCAAGTAGCAAGCCTCAAATATGGCAAGCAAAGAATCAAAAGTAATTTTTGAAAAATCTTCCAAAAACAACGTTTCTGATGGGTTTTGTTATAGTAAAAAAATACACTCATTTGGACAAGAAGCAAAATACTCTAAATTGTTTGGATTTATAAAAGTGCTTTTACAACATAACTGGACTTGCCTTAAACTTTCTCAATTCCAATTTTTCTTGTTGTCTGTGTTTTTGTCTTGAGTTCTTTCACTACTAAATGTGCCGCCCAGGTTTTACTCTTATAAGAAATTGCTTGCTTAATTTTTCGAAAAAAATGTCTTCTCGAAACCATGCAAAGCTCTCTGTAAAAAGTCATTTTTCAAACAAATTTTCTATTTTTGTTTCCCCATGCCCTTTTACGCTTCTTTTCGAATTTTCTGGTCATAAGAATTTGGTATATTTTGTTTCATTTTAAACCCAATTTATTTAATAAAAATCCGCTTTTTCTTGCTCAGGCCGTTTATTGTTTTCTCACACTTTTCATTCCATTCATAATTTAAAAGCTTCTGTTTGAAATAAAATGAGTGAAAGCCTTTTAAAACCATTATAAAAACCATCCGCAAAAGTTGCATAACAATTTCCCATAAAGAAATGTTTAAGGAGTGAAATTTGATGTGAAAGCCCGAAAGAATAATAATCGGTCGTGACGTTAAGAGATAAAAAAATAAAAAAGGGGGGCCCCCCCGAAGTTACTTAACCCTCGACCTTTCGTCATTTCTTCGGACACAAGCGATGGCTGGAGG